CTCTCTCTCTCTCTCTCTCTCTCTCTCTCTCTCTCTCTCTCTCTCTCTCTCTCTCTCTCTCTCTCTCTCTCTCTTTCTCTCTCTCTCTCTCTCTTTGTCTCTCGCTCTCTCTTCGTCCACGCAAAGTACTGATCGAGAAATCCTTGATCTAAACCACAATATCCTGTCCACTATGACTTTGTAGTCATTGAAGTGCACCACACGACGTCCGGCACAGGATTTAATATTGGTGCATCAGACTAAAGATCGTTTATTATTATCTCAATAGTATCGACTTAGACTTGGAATTTCATTTGAATATTCCAAGAAATAAGAACAATCGATTTAGAATTGTCTACTTTTTGCTTTCTTACGATCAAGCACTGATTTCAATATTTTAACGTTAAAAAATTGAATGATATTAGGAAACAAATATTTTTGTTAACATTCATTTTCTTATTGTTAACAAATAATTATTTTTGTTCAGAAAATTATATTAAAGCTAAGATAAAAAAATTATTAAAAAAATATTACAAAAATTGTTACAAAATAAGTACAACTTGTCTGATTTCCTTATTTTACGAAATTTGAATTCTATACGTATAGAACTACCTTAGTTTATAATGCACAAAATAAAAATTTTTTAAACTTTTATTATAATTTTACTGTAATTATAATTTGAAATAAAAATAACTTTTATTTTAATTTATTTTTGAACTTTTAGATAAAGTTTCTTATTACAAAAAGCGACTGATAACTATATTTTTTTACAAATTAAATTAATATTGATAAAACGATATTAGATTAAATAAGTTTTATATTATTATATATTAAAAAAATTTTTATTTGTCAAAATTTTAATTTTATATTTTAAATGGTATCCGCTTTTTCTTTTTTAAAAGCTTATATAATAAACTGATTTGGTTTGTACCTACTTTTCAATTATATAAAGAATCAGCTTGATGTCATTACAATGTTTTAATACATTAATCACCTCAAGGAGCAAATTAATGCTATAATCGAAAGCATGAATATTTCAATTATGATATTCAAATGAACAAAAAGTGCCGTTATTGTGTATATCAACAAAGTGTCATAATGTATATTACATCTACAGTGTTCAATGGAAAGATTATAATGCTTGACAATAGAATCAAATCGATAAAAGAATGTATCATCAATAGGAGAACAATAAGTTCCCGATTCATTATTAATTTTAAGTTAATCAAATATGTAGGTTAATTTCGAAAGCTCGTGTAGCTATGATAATTTATTAATAAATATTGCATTAATACAACATAATATTTTTCCTAATAATTGTGTCAATGACGTTATAAAATATACATAGTAGATATTATAAAATAGTATACAAATATTATGGATTATCATCTCAGATTTTGTTTAATTTTTTTATTTATTGCTATAGTATGAGGTTCCTAATATGTCAAGCGTCCTAACAATAATAAGGTATTGCTTATCTTTATATAATATCTGATTATGTATGATTACAACACAAAACTTTGTTATCCTACATTTTCCATTAATTTGTGATCAACATGACATATTAATTAATGAAGTACGCTCTGATGTTACACTTAATAGAAAGTTTATTGGAAACTTAAGTCATTTAAGTGAAATTTCCTTAAAATCAATACATTCATAAACATTATAACGTAACTGGATGAATAACATACATATTCATACACACTGATAGAGAAGACGGTACGCTTGTAATAAAGTTGCAGAGTTTTATCATAAAAATATATACATAATAACTTTTATAAAAAATTAACGTTAAATAATATAAAGATGTTATGTGTACATTATTATAAATGTTTTTTTAATTATTTTATTTTATTACAATAATTTAAGAAAGAAGATATGAGAGAGAGAGAGAGAGAGAGAGAGAGAGAGAGAGAGAGAGAGAGAGAGAGAGAGAGAGAGAGAGAGAGAGAGAGAGAGAGAGAGAGAGTTTAATTAGCAGTATTTTGTAATTATTATGTTTTAAGAAAGCATATGTATTTCTTGAGGCAGAAATTTAATTATTATTTTAATATATGAAAAGGTAATACGTTGTGCGTAATTAGTCGGAAAGAAGAGATTGATATTCTTGTAGCATTACCTTTTTTACAACATGTCCTCACATCTACGTTACAAAATTTTCTATCTTTTCTTGGCATTTTTCCATTATAGGTATTATGTAAGATGAAGTAGTTTATTTTTGCCTTATTTCCCGGTGGTAATATTCACAGTTATTATGTCAGATCAATCGTGTTCAGGAAAATGTGTTTGAAAACAAAAAGTTTATTTCATGATACAATACAATTTAAATTAACAATTTGCACTGATTTTTACCTATTTATTTTACAACGTGTACATTTGCTACATCAAATACTCGCGCGATAAAACGTCAAAAATTTTAACCTGTCATTTTTCAATTTCGTGATAATACAAGACAAAGCGCGACTAAAATTTATGTATGCCCGCGCGCGCGCAACGCAATGTGAAAATGTTTCAATATAATCATATGCTACCTCGTACTATTTGACATGTGGTTACAATATTGTATACTAAGTAAACATGTAGAGCACGTTCGCGCGTGACACATTAGTAATATGAATTCTCAAGCGTCATTTGTCTAAAAGCAAAGGTTATAATAATTTCATGCGCTACATTGTTCGACAATAACAAGAGATAAATATATTTCATTATCTAGAACATTTTTTCTCGTTTGATAAGAATACAGCACTTTTCTAGTGCTTTCTACTGATTAATAAGTTCTCATTTTATTATATGTGTCTACCTAAGACAGTCCTTTTCAAGCTTAATATCTTTCAGCTGTTTATATTGCATTGAGGAAAAGTAGATTTAATTACTAATATCATTTTCTTTGAGAGAAGACATTTGAAACTTCCATTTAAGATTGTACTATTTAATAGTGTTGAAATTCTCGCTCCATTAAAATTCTCGAAAATTTAAGTCAATAGTATGTGAATAAAGGAATGTTTTCTATGTGGATTCTCTATTGTACTTGGACAAACTAATTTAATCCAATGTAAGAAAATGAACTGTTTACTTAGTATAATACATCATGTTAATTATGTTTTAATATTATTTGCATATTACGTAACCAGATTCTACTAATTCTGTTTTAGATTCATTTTTTATTTTACTAATCAGTATATTAATTTTTTCATTTAATTTTATATCTAATATTATGTAACACAAATATAAGAAATTATTTTCTATTATTTAAAAATCTCAAACTTTTTTGAAGACTAAATTACATGATCAATTTGATCTATCAAGAATATAAATATGGTTTTGTAATGCAGCTCTATCTTAATAAAAACCTGATTTTTAAAATTTTCATAATAATATTTGAAACAAAGAATAATAGTAATAAACGATATATTTTCGCAAAGAGATAAGCAATGTTAAAATCACTAGATAGTTACAGGAATATTATGTTACTTCTGAGAAGTAATATGTCATAAATGTATCCAAGATCCCAAAATATCTTGGATAAATCTTTGTATTTATACACCAGTAAAGTGCAAAATAGCTTTCTAATATAACAGTCGGTATAATATTTCATATATCGATAGAAGTTAAGTTTTATTATATTATAAAAAGTCATCCATTAATCTTTTTTCTTATATTGCCACTATAAAGAAATCTCATCGGAATTGGTTGCTAAGAGAAACAGGTAACAAATCGTTCTCCTTTACTCCTGCGTTTCTCTCGCAGTTTCGACAAAATATAACTTTTCTAAATACATGAAATACTAACACAGTGATACATATATGTATAAAAAGAGACCCTTTGAAATAACAAAATATATGTGATATTATAAGATAAAAATGTATTTTATGTAATTAAAAGTGTAATATATTTTACACAATAAATTAATAATATGTAAGAATAATTTAAATAAATTCGAGGGTTTATTTGAAGAAATATACATATAATGGGTTTTGAATCTTCAAGTAAATGAAAGAGGAATTGTAGAAAAGAAATATTTTATTTAGAATAAATGTGGAAAGTCATACTAGGAAAGATTGCGTGTGTGTGACAGATTAAAGTCTTGTGAAATACCAGACTATTTGAAGTGAAGCTATAAAGTCGACGTTTCCATTTAGCATCTCGTTTTAAAACATGAAAATGTCAAGCCATTTCTCATCTCTGAAATTATTTGCAGACACAAAAAATCAGTAAAAGTTTTGCGATAAATTGTTTAACTTCTATATTTTGTAGTTTTCCTTGTCTATTCTTTATAAGTCGATAATGCGATTTTATGGTCTAGTTGCTTCACGGCATTCTCGTGCCTGGATAAGTTCAACCAATTAACACGTTGAATGTCGGGTCTAATTCACTCTACGACGATGGCGGAATGAAATTTTCCCTGTTAGATCCGTAGCTCGATAAACTATTGTATAATATATAATTGAAAGATGTAAAATTATAATGGTTAATATGTTTATTATTTTGGATTATTACTTAAATAGTAATTATATTTATAGAATTATAAATATTATTTTTTATGAGCTAGATGTATTTTTTGAGCTTGGTAGCGCTGGTCAATGCCGGTCATCAGTGACTGGCACGACATTCAATGTGTTAATATTATTGGCTATCATACATGTAATCAGAAGCTAAATTATTGCCTGGAGTTGTTATACAGAGCATGTTCGATAATGAAATGCTTAATGTTCAAAATTTTTTTAATCGAAAAAACGTCTAATAAAATATTTATTGAGAAAGAATCGATTCAACGCTATTAAAAAAAACATGCTCTCATTTCATCTAGGTTTTTGTACATTATTTACTTTCTTTCTCCTTCAAAAGCAAAAAGGAAGTCTCACAATCGTAACTTAACATTTGTATATCTTCATTCGCTCCTTGTCCGCCCTATTTATCCGCACTCGTATATTTTGCTTCAATTTACTAAAGGGTAGAAGAATTGTGAAGACTTACCTGGCGTCCTAATTGAGTTTTGTATGCGTGTCATTCATTTTGTTTTTTATAGTAACACAAACATGTTTACGTAGTATATGTTATATGCAATACACGTTCGCTTTTAAGATATACTCTCTTTAATCACTGTTATACTGCAAACGGAGAAGCACTATATACAACGTTCGGTTAAGTATTCCGATAAAACTGCGCTCATTATCCCCGGACGCTCTTATCTGAAAGCAAATGTACACGTGGATTCGCTACTGCACATAGTCCGTCGTGCTAATCGTTCTACGCCGGAACTCGCACTCGAAATTAATATACATCTACACATCGAAAAAATACATGATGTTCTTTGAGACTAAAATGCTATTAAAATAGATATGACATAACTCATATAAAAATATTTGGGATGGACGAATGCATGCAAACAAAAAATGAGAATTTATTTAGAATTTATTTATAAATTGCAATATAATTTAACTCGTTGCATACTTATATGCAACTAAAATCTGTTTCCATTTTGTTGAAGAAGCGAGCCAGATAGAAAATAAAAAAATTGCTAGAGAAATTCATTCTTAAATAAGATTTTGTATGTTTAAATGTTAAAATAATTATTAATACCTAATAATTATAATCTTAAACTAATTTGTATAAATGTTTTTTAATTTACATTTAAAACAAGAAAGAAAGTTACGTCAAAAATAATTTTAAACAGTTTGCATTTATTAATAAACAACACGGTCCTATATTGTCATATTGTAACCACGTAATTACAATAATTATTGTAACTATATGTAGTTACAATAATTATAAAGAATGGGTTGCTTCTCACTCTACTCACTTATGGTTTACAATCTAATATCCTATACGAACATCTTAATAAAAATTGCACATAGATGTTTAACATAAAAATTTAGCAGTAAAAAAGAATGATATCTAGAAAATTTTGGAGCTATACCATAAGTAGAACAAGAAACATTTGAATTTATCAGATGACACTTTGTACAAGTTCTTCTAAGCCGGCTACGTAGTCATTATCGATTATTCCCATTTGGTTATAGCAGAGAGAAACCTGAAAGCGGCCACGCCGGCGTTTTACTTGATACCACGGTCATATAGACAGATCTGGGCACTCCTATTCAAAAGCATGGGCGAAACCGTAACCCGAGTAAAGCCAAGAAAACCAATATGGCGTCAGACTAAGTCCCATGGCGGTCTATTTTGAATGATTAAAAAATTAACTTTTATGTATTACGTACATATATGAGTAAAAAAATTAATTTAACTTATAATAATTATTATTAAAAACCAAACCAATATTTACGCGACTACAATTTTACAATGTCAATATTGCGTTCTCTCATACACAATGACATATGTGAATGGCGTATGCGCGAAGAGAAAACTCACAGAGACGCAATGTTGATTTTCTGGCTTCACCATAGAACTTATACTCGTGAGTATAAGTTCTATGGGCTTCACTCGGGTCACGTTCCACCACGTTCCTACCACGAGTGCCCAGACCTGTCTACAGGGTGTTATGTAATACCCGCATCAACGCTTATTGTGGGATAGAGTGGATTAGACTAATTGTAAGTCGAAAAGTCCTCTACCATTTTGCAATTTTCGCAAAAGTCAGCGAGTTATTAATTATTAAAAATCGCTGTCTTAGGCCGGCCCACTGCCCAATTCAAACGTGCGGCGAGATCGATCGTTACAACTCTGCGCGCCTAGTAACGATCGATCGATCTCGCCGCACGTACGTTTCAATTGGGCAGTGGACCGGCCTAAGACAGCGATTTTTAATAATTAATAACTCGCTGACTTTTGCGAAAATTGCAAAATGGTAGAGGACTTTTCGACTTAGTCTAGTCCACTCTATCCCACAATAAGCGTTGATGCGGATATTACATAACACCCTGTATATGACCGTGCTTGATACCGTTTCAAGGGACTGCTTTGCGCGCCTTTACGTCCATTTTTACTTTTGGAACTATTTTGCTATGCATCTTCTGACACTGCCGATAAAGTCACCACTTTGTGCGTGTCCATGCTACGCCTATTTTTCAGGATTGTGTTGTGAAATTCAAAATTACATTAACATAAATTATTTACATAATATATTTACATCAACTTTTCTCATGTAGAAAATGTAAATTTTATAAATTAGATGTCAGAAGGCATAGCACAGACATGCACCACGTGGAAATTTTATCGGCAGAGTCAGAAAATGCGTAATAAAATAGTTCCAAAAATAAAAATGGGCGTAAGGGCGCGCAAAACAGTCTCCCGAAACGGTATTAAGTAAAACGCTGGCGTGGCCGCTCTCAGATTTCTCTCTGAACATATTTTGAAAAAATTTCCCCGAAATATAAAAATATCAGAGAGAAATCTGAGAGCTGCCACGGCCCCGTTTTTCGTGATTGGCGAATGCGATACGTCCACTGTGGACATTGAAACGTGGACGTTGAACTACGTGGCCAATGTCCACGTTTGGGCAAGTGTACGTATGGATAAATAGGTCTATAGATCAGACTACAGGTAGGTAGGGATTTGGATAGTCAGGAATCCAAGGGGGACATAATTCGAGAGTTTAAAAGATTAGATAACACAAATTAACGAAGTAACAATAACTTTAACATAATAAGTACGTAAAAAGAATTTCGTGTTATTGTACGTATACCGAATATTTCATATAAAAAGTCGAGAAAAATATTGTCGCGATCCGTAATCTTATCGCTCATTTCTGCGGTGATTTGTCGAGAAGAATATCACGCGTAATTTGAAGTAGAAGTGTCATAAGGAAATTACATATACATATAAATTATTAGGTAGGTTCGAAATATCCACGAGCGCTAATACCTTTTTTAACGATCGAACTCGGGTGAATCTCTCTCACGTCGTGCATTAAATAGCTAACCTAATTTATGTTCACTCAATATTCATTTTTCTAAATATACACATATGAAATTGCACGGTTTTTTGTCAATAATCCCCTCTTCGGGTACTACCTTGTCGCGGTGGAGGGGCTTAAGTACCCCGAAGAGTTACTCTCTAAAAATCAATCAGTGCATTATCACTGAATCAGTGAATATTCACTGTTTTCAGTGATAATCCATTGATTGATTTTAGAGAGTACATACTCTAAAGACGGGACAACCAAAAGTACCCATTGCACTATTTAGGCCCAATTTTTCATTTTTCAATAAACTGTTGACCACAGTTTAATCGATTCTCTCTCTTTTCTTAGATAATAATATAGAAAAGGAGAGAGTCGAGTAACTTTTCCACATTAACAGTTAACCAGAAAATGATAAACCAGGCCTAATACTCTCTGAAAGTTAATCGGTGAATTATTACTGAAAATAATGAATTGATTCAATGTTTTCAGTGATAATCCACCGATTGACTTTTAGAGAGCACATTTGTTTATTTAATTTATTAATTGATTTTGTTCATTTCTCTGATTTCAGCTAACTTTCGAGGACTATTACTCGAATAATTTAAACGAATTGCAACCGCGCGCGGCGATTCGTCGTGTCGCGTCGCGTTCGGGAGTGCCGTTTGTGTAATCGGACTGAAGACTTTCAAAGTGTAAAATCGCGCGAACGATCTTTGTGTTTTCGCGAGTGTGCCAGAAGACAACCTGAGTGGAGGAGGCCTCGGAAAGGCATCAGGCACCGGCGGAGCAACTTTGCGGTAAATATTACTTTTATTTTGTGTAAAATTAATCTCTTTTCTGGTGTATTATATTCATTTCTTTATTACTTTGTATTTGTTTTTCACATTAGAGCCTTTTGAATTTTATTAATTGATATAATTGAGTTATTTTATATCTTAAATTCATATAATTTCTAATAATTAAAAATAATAATTAGAAAACAAGACGCAATTTTAAATTTAACAAAAGTTTATTCTCAAGACAATCTTTCGAGGAAAATCTTTCGCGATATAATCTTTTACATATCTAACTCAATAAAAAGTTCGATATGTCTAAAAATTATATTTTGCAATATTAGTTTTCTTGAATACTATTTTAACCTGACTTTTATGTTTGTATGTTACAGAATCAACGCAGCTACGTGCAGATACAACTCCGCTGTTGCACATCGGATCGGTGAGTGAGAATTTTTTTTATCGAGGTAACGAATCTACATCTCGTAGATCGTAGATCGTAGATTGTAGATATATTCTGTAGATTTGTTACCTCAAAATGGTTAGGTTACAAATAATTTAATATTTTATTTAATATATTTTATTTACCGAAGAGTAATAGCAGCGATTTTCAAAGTGTTGGGTGTTCCGTTGCAGAACCAGAGTTAATCCCTGGTTTTCTTTGTCACGGATCCCCGGAAGCAACGGTTTCGGCACGAGGGCGCGACGTCGATTCGCGAAATTAACCAAAAAAAAGAAGAGAAGATTTTATATATATCCTTCTCCATAAATATTCTCCCATTAACAGTAATAATGGAAGAATAATTTTTATTTCAATAAATCTGAAAATATACGAGATTCCATGATTTGAGAAACGATCGTCGTTAACTCCCTGCCGAAACGACCGCTATCGGAGGTAATCCAGAAGATCTGGGATTCATTCTTTCTTGCAGCGGGGTCTTTGGCGTTCAACGGGTTTAATTTTCTTTTACATTCTTTTAATCTTATGAAACTCTACATATTAAGATATGTTGAATTCACTTTCCATGTTGAGAATCGTTAAATTACATCACAAAACTTAAGCAAAATATGGCGAATATTATTGATGTATCCGTCGAGCTAATATGTTGTAGCCTATCCATTTTTATTAACAAATTGATATATAAAATAAAATCAATAATATGATGTGAGATTCTAATATATTTTGTTGAGAATACTGAAAGTTTAACTTATTTTTATATATTATTTGCGGTTATTAATTTATTATAGTATGGTTATAATATCGGTTGGAATCGTGAAAGAAGTTTCGTACTTCTGGATCTCACATTATTTATTCTGTGTATGTACGTATATACATACGTTATATACGTACTTTCAAGATGCGTCTCGCATGAATACGAGGTTTGTCCCAAAAATATGTATATTGTTTTTTCATAATTTTATTTGACAATCAATCAAGTAAATCGAATTTGTCCCCCTCAAAATACTCTCCCCCTGAGGCAACGCACTTGCTACAACGCCGTTTCCACTGCTGGAAACAGCCTTGAAAGTCCTCCACTTTGAGCCTCTTCAGTTGCCTCGTCGTCACTGTCTTGATGGCCTCCACGTCCCCAAAATGCCGCCCCCGAAGCAACATTTTGCATTTGGGGAACAAGAAGAAGTCACACGGTGCTAAA